CAACTAGCTAGTATTAAGGTGCTCATAATGAATGCTGAACTGCTGACTTATGCATCATTCTCTTAAACATTTAGCATAAATTTACAAGGTAATTATAGTAAGGCAGTAAGCATTCTCAATCTTTTCTGTTATTATTCTATTTCCCTTGGTGAAAATTTTCCACTTGATACTAAATTATGGTAAATGCTATTGGTCAGCCGGACATTCATGGCCATCATTGGTGGTGTAATTGCTGGAATTCTGGGATTAACCAGCTTGATGGGGTTTATATTTTATTTCCTTATCATGGGAATTGTGTCAGTAGGGCTGATTGCAAAGGCAAAATTTTCTGTCTTTGCATACTTTGACAGCTGGAACAGGATCATTCTTGATGGATTCCTTGGGGGACTCTTGGTATTTCCCTGAACATCCATTGTTTCTTATATCAATTTGCCAGATTATCTCATTCTTAACACTGCCGTTATTGCACTTTTGGGAATGCTACATCTTTTTCTCTCCCATCAACTTATTAAGGGCATGTTTGGTTCTCAGAAAATACTAGTTAAACAGTAAAAATGCTAAAGAAATTCATATTCTTATGTTTGGCTTTACATTAGAAAATACAAATGGAAATGAAATATGAATGGATATTGCATTTCAAAGCTTACATATATCCAGATTTTGTAGTTCATAACACTTTAAATACTCCCTCCGTATTTAAAAGTTCTCTACACTTTCCTTTTTGGGATGTATTTAAAAGTTTGCTACACTTTCTCTTTTTGGCAAGTTTTTCCTTTAAAAATACTCAACTACCCTTACTTTTTCTACTTTTTATCTTCTCTTTCCTACTTTTCCACCTTTTTCTCCTACTTTTTCTACACTATACATTACCCCTGCTATTTTCCCCTTAAATATTGTGTCAATCCCTAGTGTAGAGATCTTTTAAATACGGAGGGAGTATTAAAATAAGTAAACTGAGTTAGGAAAAAATATAGAAAGATTTTTGACCAAAAAATATGATATCCAAATTTTGTTCCGTTTTACTCATTTTCTTTCCCTAGTATTTCTAGGTTCCAAACAGATTATGATGCTTGTTATTTAGAGATATAGGTTAATCGTAGGACTAGGTTGTTATTTGGCATGGGTTCAGATTATTAGCATTATAGCTTCTCTTGTCAAAAAAAGTTTGATTGATCATGGCTTTCTATTTTGTGCAGTCGTTTGTGCTATTCTGGACGTATCCTTCATTTCCCTTTCTAATCCCCCGCCCCCCTTCAAGTTTGAATAATTTATTTCTGGATAATTTCATTTACGGCATATGATAACTTGTTATGACTTATGAGTATTGTCGTAATCCTTGACATGCACAAGACTTGCTTACGATATTGTGCACATATTCTAAGGCCCTTGAATCCTAAGGAGACCAGTAGGCAGTAGCCAGAGAGACAACTATCAAAAGCTTGGCCCTAGACAACATCTCGGAGAGTTGAAGTTTACATTTGAAATTTTTATGCTCTTGATTTTGTTGGCAAATTTATCAGTTCCAAAGATTGTTAAGCTGAATTTAAGAAGTGTTTTTTCTGTTCTGTATTTCATAAGATGCGTATGCATAAGAAAGCTTTTAATTGTTTGGTGCATATACATATTTACCGTTAGATCCAAAATGGACGACATAAGGACCTTTTTTTTTTGGAAAATACTACGTATCTATCATCTTTTTTTTATACTTTTTTTAGTGTATCTTCACATTGGCATCTTTAAAAATGCCTTCTATTGTCCCAAAAGAAAATGCCTTTTATTTTGGAATAAAGGTGTGATTCGTGTAATCAGCATTTCTTTTTTATTCTTTGATTTTGTATGAAATCTGTATTCGATTCAAATTGGTTTCTGCGTTTCAATAAAATATTTAGTATAGATCCTAAAAATGCATTTCCTCAGTCCAACTAAATTTTGTAATAGTTTAGAAATTTCATTTGATATATAATATAAACTTAACTAGTCGTTTAAAATCAGCATTAGAATAAAAAATTACGAAGAACGGAAGAAGACCAAAGTCACCAAACAGTGGAAATGATTAAATATTGATGCCTAAAATAAGATAAAATTTCACTAATATTACTTTTTTAAAAGTTACGGTAAAAAATGTAACTTGGTAACTTTTAGCTACTATATTTATGTTCAACGTTATTATGATGTAGTGATCATGATGTAAACTTTGAACACGTTTATAGTAACTATAAGTTACCAAGTCATATTTTGATCCATGATTTTTGTATTAGTAATATTTTAGGAAAAATCTCCTAATAAAGTTGTTTGAAAAATGTGACCTTTGAACTATAATGACAATAGTAATAGTGTAATACTTTATCATGGTTTTTTTTTTCAACTTGTAACCTTTATCATATGTTTATAAATAAATTTCTTTGGTGCTATTTTTTAAAAAAACTCATAAAATTTTCAACTAAGTTTTGTACTCCCTCCGTCCCAAAATCGTTGGCCAATGTTGACTTGTACGTGGATTAATAAAGTAAAAACTGTATGGTTGAAACTTGTGTAGAGAAGAGATAATTAACTTTAGTCACATATTTCTTACTTTATAAATTAAGTTTTGGGATGAAGGGAGTAATAAAATAACAAAGTTAGTACATGCCGATAAAATTCAAAGTTTATACTAGTACAATTGTACTTCAAACTTCAAAGTTGGGTAATGTAAACTTGTTTTGTCTTCTTTTAATAGTTTAGATTAAAAAACATCATACTTAGCTATTATTGATGTATAATAATAAAACCAAGGATTTATTTAGAAAAAAACACTGGGTGAATATATTGACGGTGCTGGATTGCAGAAAAAATTGAATTGACTGAATGAATGCGTATAAATTGGTGGGGAATTTGATTTATTGACGGATATGAGTTGCGGTTAGCCTAAGAAATAGCCACCTGGATAGCCATTGACCTAATTTTTCCCATTTAAATCGGGATGATTATGAACGGACGTCACAAACTAACAAGAGTATTAACAAACAAAAAAACATTTGTATATATTAGCATTTCTACATCTAAATATGGGTACACGATGTTTGACTTGTTCTTCAAGTGAGTACAATACTTTTATTAAACTATATATAGATACATGCATGGTATATATAAAGTACGTTTAACCAATCAGTGTCAGTATCATATACAAAATGAATATATGGATGAAAAATACTACCTCCTTTCTTTAATACTAGTCCCCTTAAACTTTGGCGCGGGTTTTAAGAGGAAAGTAGTAGGGTAGTGTAAAAGGTGTAATGAGTAGTGGGTAAATGAAAAAGTAGGAAAGAGAAAAGGGTAATGATAATAAAAGTTGGGGTATAAAGGTATATTTAGAGTAAAAACTTTCCTTACATGAAAAGGAGGACAGATAAAAAAAACGTCCCAAAAAGGAAAGAAGGACTAATAAAAAAGAACGGAGGGAGTATTATTTGTACAATCTCTCCCATCTCCACAATATAAATTCTTCTATTTGGTTTTCTCATTTCCCATTTTCTCCCTTTTTCATCCTCTTCTTCTCTATCATTTCATTTTCAACTTTTTCCGTACTTGTACCAATTTATCTATATGTTCCTATTTTCATCCTTTCTTTATTTTCATTTTCAGTTTTTCTAAATCACATGTAAGAGCATCTCCATTCATGATATTCAATTTTATGGGTTTTTATGGTTTGTTATTGTCATGTCACTTCCACATAAGAAAATCTCAAATAATCTCCAAATCTATCAATTTCTCATCATCCATGATCTTAATTTACCTAGTTTTTTTATGAGAAATGCACGAACTACAAATCTAGTCATCACCTTAATTATGAGTATATGACTAGAAAATGGGGGGAGGAGCCTAAAAGTTGGAAATGATCTCAAAATAATTCAGCTTTAGAATTTGATACCAGATTATTTTATCAAATAATCTTTTCAAATAGGGTTGGACTCGGTCCGGTTCAGGGCCGGGCCGGGCCGGGCGGGCCGCCGGTTCTGAATAGTTGGGCCCGACTACCGGGTCTGGGCCGGGCCCCGGTTTTTTTTTTTTTTTTTTTTGCTTTCTTAAGTATCCCTGACCCCCCCCCCCCCCTCACCCCCACCCCCCCCAAACCCCTCCTAAACATCAAGCCCAACCCGGGTGGAACCCCAAAAAAATGAAAACAGGAAAAAAAAATCAATTTGGCCCGAACGGCCCGGGCCTCCTTTTCACTGACCCGAGCCCGCCCCGCTTTTCCTAGCTAACCGGGCCTTAGACCGGTTTTGGGCCCGCAACACCGGGCCGGTCCGGTCCCGCACAGTAGTGGCCCGGGCCGGGTGGCCCGAACCGAGTCCAGAACTATTTTCAAATAATCTTAACATCTCAACCATAATCTAAAAAAATATCATCCACATCATCAAAATAATTTCTAGATAATCTCATGGATGTGGATGCCCTAATTGGTTATATAAACAGTTGAACCATTGATTCGTGAGTATACAATCAACTGAATTAAGTAATCAACCACTCCGTAGTCCGTATTATCTATGTGAGAAAATTTTATCTGAAAACTCAGTCTCATACTACGTATTGTCTTCACATCAACACTTTTGGCACTAAAACTAATGTTCAAGTACAACTTATAATTATCTATAACACACCATAATTGTTTGTGTCAAGGCATAATTATTTATGACCGATAGATTGTGCACAAATACAAGTCATTGTGTACATAATATGAAAAAATTCCACTTTTGGTCCCATGACTATTATACAACTTCCACATTTCGTCCCTCACTATCAATTTGTCCACATTCAGTCCGCGACCATCTTCCCCTCACCACCCGTGGTCCTTCCGGTCAAAACTCCGGCTGAAATTAATTAAACCACTTAAAGGGGAGGGTAGTTGAGTCATTTAATATCATTTAAAGTCCTGGTACCTAACTCCCTCCCTCTTCGTCGCCTTTAACATAACAACGAACCCAGGTCTGCAAAATTGAAACCTAATCCTCAATTCTTTGAAGCATGTCTACTGCTAAATCAGGAAGCTCGAATTCCGGAGGTCAATACGAATATGGCGAGTGGATTCCAGTGACCTATTGCGAATGTGGCCAACAATTAAAGCTTTTGACAACATGGAAAGCAGAGAACAGTGGGAGAAGATTTTGGAAATGCATTGGAAGTCAGGTTAGCACTGGTTGAGTTCAATTGTAGTATTTGTATATGTTTTTCCCCTTTAATATTGAATACATGGTTGATAACGGGATGCTTACATTGTGTTGGTGCAGCCATATAAAGGGTGTGGTATGATGGAGTGGTTTGACCCTCCAATGTGCAAGAGATCTCAAAAAATAATTCTGGGGCTGTTAAAAAAGATGAATGCGTATGAGGAAAAAATTCGTACATTGGAGATGAAGCTTGAAACATTAGAGGTTGAAGGGTTCAAACCAGAGAAGAAGAGGAAGAAATGTACTAAATGTAGTAGGGCATTGGTTTGCATTGTTGCAGTTGTTGTTGTTGTATTTGTGTTCATGTATATCAAAGCCACATAATGTGGTTGTAGTGTTTAGGTTCTGTAATTGTTGCTTTGTTTTATATTCACCCATTAGGTGTGATGCTGTTGTACTACCTGAATATTATGAGTATGATATCAATTTATTTCATTAATGTATTTCATTTTGGTGTTAAGTATGAGCAAAATACATGACAACTTTGTGTTTGGATTCAGAATAATGACATCTTTCTGAGATTATTCTGTATAGACACACTAGTATGAGCAAAAGACACTGCATATACACAATAGTATGAGCAAAAGACATGATATTTTTCTGACATTTTTCATTAGTCACATATACACACCATAGACTTCTTAATGTATATGACCTCAAGATATATACCATCTTACTAAAAAGACATATACACCACACCATACACAACCATTTAGACCTCACATATACCATCTATCATGTATACACGGAATACATATCCATGTCATTTAAAAAGCTTGTTACAAAAACATGTGTCCATTAATATGTCAATTTCAATCTGACAATACCATTACAATACCATGTCCAGTAATAGGACCATTACACTACCATGTGCAGTACTAGCACCATTACAATAGGTTGTCCATTACAAAGAGCAAAAGATACTACCAAATCCATGATCTTACATTAAGCACTAGTCTAAGTCAATTGGGGCATCATCATTCCCAAAGAAAACAGATTTGAATGTTGATTTTGATCGAGTGCCATAACATGGTCCTTTTTTAACTTGCAGTTTCTTCAGTTTGGGTTTAGCAGAACGGGGTGGTCCATAGCTTATCCTTATCCCATGACTAGTTCTGTATTCAACATCAGCATGCACCTCTTCACTCTTTTCCTTACTTTCATCTACATTATGTTCAACACTTACTTCTTCATTTGCTTCTGCACTTGGTTCTTCACCTACATCTTCACTTGCTTCTGCAGTTGGTCCTTCAGATCCTAGCTCATCTTCTTGCCTATCTTCTATGACATTAGTGATCACTTGGGTGTCTTGTGTGAACATACCATCCTCCTCTACACAAACTACAATTGGGACCTCAATTCCAAATGATGACTCCTCTGCACTTTGCATGTTAACTTCTATTAGATTGGCCTCATCAAATGTTTGCACACCATTGTCATTGTCATCCCCAGCACCATCATCAATATCATCAGTACCAGTATGCCTTTTCTTCTTTTTTGAACTTCTTTTTCTAGGTTGCACCTGTGTAAAAAATAGATGAAACAAATAATGAACTTTGAACCAACATAAGAAACAAGAGCACACCAATGACTATAATCAACACTACTGACAAACTATAACACTGAAAAATGAATGAAAAACCAACACTAAGCCAGAATTGAAGAAGAAACAATATATAGTAGGAGTATACCAATTTGTTCTTGTTGTTTGGATCATCTGGGCATCTCCTAGCATTATGCCCTTGCTTCTTGCACTTAGTACAGTGCAACTTGATATGTGTCCTTGCCACTTTGACCCCATCAGTGCTTAGATCCACTGCAGATTTCCTCCTCAACTTGGTAGGTCTTCCAGGTCTAGCAGTATACAAAGGTGGTAGAGGAGGCACTCTGTCAGTAAGTGGCCACTCTTCTGGCCTAGCCATTGGCCTAATGGAACCCCCATATATTTTTAGATATGTGTCCTTTGTATAACAAGGGTGCACATATGCATCTACTGGACCCCTTCCAAATTTAAGCCAAATTGCACAAACTGCATGCTTACAAGGGATCCCAGTTAAGTCCCAAATCCTACATGTGCACTGTCTTTTCTCCAAATCAACCCCATGTTGAGTACCGGACATACCTGTGATCTCAAATTCATTATCACCGCATTGAATTCCAATTAAACCTGCTGCCAATTTCTCAATACCCTCTAATTTTTTAACAATCCTAGGGCAAATGTTTGTAGTCCACTTCTTGGCTTTTTCCCTACTAGTGAAAAGCTTTGTTAGAAGCAGCTTCCTAATGGTCTCTAGGCACACCAAAAGAGCCTGTTGTCTAGCCTCTAAAATAACACCATTAAAGCACTCACATATGTTGTTAGTCAACATATCAGTTTTAGAGAAACATGAGAAGTGTGACTTGGACCATTCAGCTGGATGTTTGTCTGCTAGCCATTCAAAACATTCACCATCTATTTCTTTCATCTTTGTTAGACCAGCTTTGAAGGCATTTACAGTGCATGCCCTTGCACAGTCCCACAAACAATCCTTGATTGCCTTCCCATTAAATCCAGCTGCCTTGATGTTGCCATGCAGATGTCTGACACAGAATCTATGTTCAACTGTTGGGAATAGGTCAATTACTGCTTGAATGAGACCTTTCTGTTTGTCTGACATTATGGTGAAGAGGTGCTCATTGGAAGCATTGATGCCAGCATCTGTCTTAACTTGCTTTAAGAACCAATACCAAGACTCTCTAGTTTCCCCCTCCACAATGGCATAAGCAAGAGGAAAGATGCTATTGTTAGCATCTATGCCTATTGCAACCAGTAGCTGGCCTCCACTATTGGTTTTCAAATGAGTTCCATCCACCCCCAATACAGGTCTGCAGTGTTTAAAACCTTCCCTGCATGCCTCCCAACACATATACATCCTAAGAAATCTATGTTGCCCATCAGCTTCCAAATTTTCACTTAACTTGACTGTACAAGTGCTCAGATGATTGGTCCTTCTTATTTCTGCCACATAGGACCATATTTTCTTGAAGTTATCTTCCTCTTCACCTCTCAGTTTTCTTTTTGCCTTGCTCATTGCTCTGTAAGCTTGCCTTGTAGTCAAATGAAATCGTTCATCAGTACAAACTTTGTGTCTAAACTCCTTGGTTTTCCAGTTTGAGTGACTTTTAATCTCTTGAAACCACCTTTTTGCAACCTTGGTTGAGTTGACCATCTTGTTGTGATACACCCAAGAACAACCATCATGTGTGGAATGGTACTTCAGTATCCTCCAGGAATGAGAATTGGTTACTTTTCTTAGGTTCATCTTCCAAGGACATCCCAAATGCTTGCACTCCACAACCACTCTTTCCTTATCATTCTTAACAAACTTCAGATCTTTACCCATCTTGAAAGCATGATTTTGCACAGCTTCCTTGAATTCTTCCTTGGTAGAAAAGGTCATACCCAGCTTAAAGGTAGGATTTTTCATATCAGTCTTAGCACAAAACCTTGTCCATTTCTCACCATCAGAATCTGAGTTATGTATGGAACCATCATCAGACAAATTGGGGTCAGGGTCTACCATTGGTGCATCCCTTTCAGTCTCTTCTCCTTCACTATTGTTCTGTACCCCTGCATATTCAGCTGTGGGATCAGTGTTGTTAACAAAATCAACATCATCCTTACTGATGAAGTCCTCCAAATCAGAGTCATTATCATCCCCAGAAAATTGTTCTAATTCTTTGTCACTGCACAGAAAGTCACTATCAGCAAAGTCATCAACATCTTCATCTTCATCCTCACCCATTTCTTCAAATTCAACCCACAACTCCACCACCTTACCCCCATTTCCATCATTGACAAAACTCCATACCTCTGCCTCACCTTTTAGTTCAGTAAAGCTTTCATTTGAATAAGAAAACACTTTTCTTACCTTCTGGGTGCAACCAAGCTCTTCAAGTTTCTCTTTCAATGCAATCAACCCAAACTCATCTACATCTAAATCATGGAATAATTGAACTGTACCTCCCAGATATGAAGATCTTTCCATGGCATTCACTCTTCCCCCATAATATAACTTCAGAGTAAATGTTCTTTCAGAGGTGGTTGAATCTGTTTAAAAAAAATCAATATGTTAGGTCAATCAGCTTATGTGGATCCCACAAGCACAAATAACATATTCATATTTACATTTTAAAAAAAAAAAAACATTAAAGCATACAAGCTAGCCCAAACACACATGACACAACCCTTTGCGTAAAGAGTAATCAATATGGTCCCATTTCTGAAATGTAAAAACATAAAGGGACAAGGGAATCTCAGTCAAATAAAGTGAATGCCTACCCTACCATGTGAATTTGAAGACATAAAGGGAAAAGGCAGCCTTAGCAATACAAGTGTGACATGTGAACGCAAATAAGATGTAAAGACCGGTTCAACCATTTCGATCACACCCAAATTTATTCTATAAAGTACACACAAGTTCAGCCTCTTACCTTTACCAGAAACATTTGAGGCGGAATGGTGTTCACTGCTTGTTCCTTCTCCACCATCCCTACCACGGTGCATTCCAATTGTAAACAATCCCGGAGGTCGTGTCCTCATTTCGTAAGTCTTTAGGGCTTCGGTTCTTCAGGTTGGAGGGAGAAAGATTCAGATGGCTTCTTCACTTCAACGCATCTATTCAGAGGAGTATTGGAGAATCAGTAATTAGGTTACTTTGGAGTCAGATTGAAATTTAGTTTAGCAATTAGCCGTTTTTAGGACCTAAAGTTACTAAACTACCCTTCACACGTGTCACTTATATTCTGGCCGATTAAATTCAGCCGGAGTTTTGACCGGAAGGACCACGAGTGGTGAGGGGAAGATGGTCGCGGACTGAATGTGGACAAATTGATAGTGAGGGACAAAATGTGGAAGTGATATAATAGTCATGGGACCAAAAGTGGATTTTTTTCACATAATATAGCCAATACGTATACATAATTATTTATGACCGATAGAACATGGCAAATTTTCATGGAACAGTTGCTCATGCCTTCTTCACCGGGGTTGGCAATATCATTAGATTTGGACAGCTTGATTGTGTTGCAATAAAAGGGAAAAAACAGAAGAATCATTATTGAACTAGAAAATGGGCAATATATTGTCATACTTTGACAAACTTTGAAGGAACTACAGGACAGAAAAGGCAAGGCCTCATAACACCATTTGATGGTAGCAGTTCGGA